ATGGCCCTCTCGCCCTGTGCAGAGGCTAGGGGGCTCTTCCTGCAGATACGCCGAGACCCCACGACCTGGGATGGCACCCAAAGGGGCCTTGGCAAACAAACCCTCACGCACGAGGGGCGTATAAAAAGCCAGGGGAACTCCCAACGGCCCTCTTGCTCCGCGCAGAGGCTAGGGGCTCTTCCTGCAACCTTGCCGAGACCAGCGGCTCCGGCTCGCACCAGAATGGGCTCGGCAAACAAACCCTCCGTCCGAACGAAAAGGATATGTGAGGGTCGGATGAAAAAGCCAGGGGACCCCTGACCGCCCTCCTGCTCCTGGCAGAGGCTCGGGGGCTCCTCCTGCGCCCAAGACAAAGACAAACGGTCTAAGTCCATGCTAGAAGTTCCGTTATAAATACGATAAAGGGCACCGAGCCCGTTACGGTCTAGGGATTCGAAGGCTGGGCCTCCAGAGGTTTCGACAGTCGCCCTAGGGCAACAGAGTCAGGGACGACCATGGGGCGAGCCTACAAATGGCCGAGGCCCGAGCGAACGATCGCTCAATCGCTCGGGGCGTCCTAAGTCGTGTCCGAGACCGGCAGGGAAGTCTACGAATGGGATCCCACCGTAGGGAGGCACCGAGCCACCGAGGCCCAGCGAACGGCCTCGGCACCCACTAGAGAAATCCTCTGGTACTCTTGGAGTGCGTCTCCGGACCGCTAGCCGACCCTTAGCAAACGGGGTTCGGGCCTCCACTCGGACTACCCGATAACAGCTCACCGGAAGTGCCCACGCTCATGCCCATCGAGGGTAGCCTGGCACATTCCACCCCTCCTTCCGAGCGAAAAGGAAGCGTGAGGGTCGTACCCAAAGTCAGGGGGATCCCTGACGGACCTCTCGCTCCGTGCGGAGGCTAGAGGGCTTTTCCTGCAGCCTCGCCGAGACCCTCACAACCCGAACTTGCGCTTGTGGGCTCGGCAAATGCGATAAAAACTCCTCGCTCAAACGCGAAAACAAAAAAAGCCCCTAGAGGAGTAACTCCACTCCTCCAGGGCCTCGGGGGCTACACCCGGCGGGTGCGCTCGTGCGCACCCACCGGAACCTCAAGAAACAAAACCTAATTCCTACGGGAGCGGGAATAAACCAAGCCTCGGCGAACCCTCAGGGAGAGTGCACGCACTCCCCCGGAGGCTCGGGGGCTACTGTCGGGTACCTTAGGACGGGGTACCCCGAGCGAACATTAAAGGGGTCACTTAAGTCCCATCAAAATACAAAGCTAGAAGGTAAGCTGTGGGCCCCTCACCCGCCACGTCCGAGCCCGCCAGGCTCAACGCCTCATCTCGAGCCTCGCGCAGAAGGTCTCGACGTCCTGACGCAATCTCCGCCTCGCGCGAGGCTCTCCACGGAAGGCCTCGGCGGGGAACACAATCTCTGCCTCGCGCGAGGCTCTTCACGGAAGGCCTCGGCAAGGAGTCCGATCTCCGTCTCGCGCGAGGCTCAGCCCTCCGTCTCACGTAAGGCCTCATTCTCCGTATTGCGCGAGGCCAGGTTATCCATAGTCCATCGCCCCCGCTTCGACCGACCCTCCTGACAGCACGTCATGTCCCATTAATACTTCAACGACTCCCGCAATCTCAGCCGGACGACGGCTTGACACCACAGAATGACCGACGGGACCTGAGGTCGCATCAACGCCATACCGGCTGGGACAAGGCGCGGCAGGGATTACCGGCCACTGTGTTCTGACACTGTGCCCACGATCAGCGCCCACACTGCACTGTGCCCCGCGATCCCCGCCTAGAAAACAACATCACGCGGACTACTTGGCCCGGGTCATCACCGCCTCCAAGCCAGCGCGCCAGATCAGCCACCCTCTCGGAGCCTCGGCACTATACACCAAGGTCTCGGCTATCTCGGGGTTTATGCTCGCCTAGACCCCCACTGCGGTGCAGCCTCGGCACTGACCGAAGCCTCGGCCTCACGCGCCGCCAATCCACAGCGATCCGCGTCCTGGCCACCGCACCTGCTCCGAGGTAGCCTAGAAGCTCCCATAATGCACAGGGTCGGACGTGACCAGCACGTCGCCCCAGTGCTCCAAGGACGGACCACTCCGACGACCACGCCGCCACAGGAACAGGCCACAGGGCTCGGACACACCGCCTGTGTTGGCACGACGCCGTATAGTCAGCACATGTACTGTCCTTGTCCTCCCTTCAACTATAAAAGGAGAGGACTTGGACCCCTTAGAAAGGATAGAGGGAGAACACCTGGTAGCTCACACACATACACATCCCAGCCGCCTGAGAGCAACGTCTCAAGCAGCCCACACGACACCTCGCCGAGACCTGGAATTAGCTCCCTCTCTCCCTGTGCTTGTAACCCCCTACTACTAGCACTTTGGTGCAAGGAATACAAGATCGATCTCTCAGACTGGACGTAGGGCGTCGATTGCCAGAACCAGTATAAACCTTGTGTCTCTTTGCATCACCATCCGGGATTAGGGGCACGCAGTTCAAATTCACTAGTTGGTAGAGGACCCCCGGTCCGAAACATCGACACAGACTATCTGTCGCTAAAAAAATTCAGGGCAACGGACTGTCTGACGCTAAAAGTACTGTCTGACGCTAAAGATTTTTAGTATCAGGACTTACAGTGTCTGTAGAAGTCTGTCGCTATAACTTTTTAGCGTTAGATTATCTGTCGCTGTAGCCGCTTTTAGCGTCAGACCGTCCATCGCTAATCTTGGTGTTGTGGTGTAGTGGGCAGGGTGGCACACCCAACGGTCATCACATGGACGCCGCACGCCCAGCGCACGTGCCTCTACTTTGCCGAGTGTCCGTGTTTACCGAGTGTTTCGTTATAGTTTGCCGAGTGTTTTTTATTAGACACTCGGCAAAGTTAGGTTTTGCCGAGTGCTATATGTTTGCCGAGTGTTTAATCAAAAACACTCGGTAAATAGGATGTTTGCCGAGTGCCCGATGGAATGCACTCGGCAAACCCTCAGGCACTCGGCAATTCTATTGTTTCTGGTAGTGTACAATGATCATCATGGTGACATACATCTGAAGGGATCTAGTTTTCTTTAATGGAGGCCCCTTTGCACTGGGACCAAAATGGACTTAAGAGATCCTTTTGGTTTGTATTATATCATTGTCCAACATAGTAATAGTAATGGCAATGAGTAATTTTGTCAGTTTAGCTTGTAATAGTATCTGAACGGATAATTGTTCAGATTGTATCATGGTCACTTACAAGAACTTTTGGTAAAAATGGACATGATAACCGGTTTGTCTTTGTAAAAACAGGATCAAGGGCGAAGCTACACTGTTGAAAGGGGGTGCATTTAGGTTTGAACCCCACTTCAAAAAGGGGCCGTCTACACCCCCACCTCCTTTGGGGATCCCTACTTACCCGAGCTTCCGGCTTTGGCGAATCGTGAATACATGTTAACCAGAAGAGTCTGACTTGCTAAAGACCTCCTAAGGCAGCTGCAAGAACAGAGGGCGGCTCATTTACCTTTGAAAGAAGAGGGTAAACTCTCGGAAGATAGGGTTAGCCGAGTTCGACATGGTTCTTCAACCGCTCCGCCCTCGAGAACGAAGATAGACATCCTTTGATTGCTTCTTCTTGAGCTTGGTCGCCAAGTGAGAAATAGGAAAACCGTCAAGGATTGCAGTTGGAAATCTAGTTATTTTTCCTTGCCAATAAAATCAACAAATTGTGAGTTGCCTTTGCCAAGGAGATGATCAAAGAAAAAACAGTTAGTTTGGTTAAAATTTTCACCATATATGCACGACACATTCTATGCACCCACAAGGCACTTGCACCCCTGTTCAATTGCTCTAGCTTCACCATCGAACAGGATGGTAGTGTTTGCTTTACCATCAACACTCACCTCAACTCTGTCGAGCAATGAATAATTGCGCTCACTGAGATATACATGCCCGAACTGACTATACAGAATTTGTTCCTCACTGAGATATATAAGGACTGAACTGACTACAAGTTGTAAATTGAGATATAAAAGGATTGAAATGGCTACAAAGTTATATGTCCTAGCAGAATATTTTTTTTCTAATTTGCTTTCCTACTTCTTCATTTTGCATACCTCTCACTATCTAACTACTCCCCGAAAGTGACCGTCCCATGAGTGACATGATATGTCTAGCTTGTTGATTCCAATGAGATTAGGATAGAAGGTATAGAGACTCTCGGTTAGCTAGACAATCTAAGCCACAAAGAACATTTTACAGAATAAGAAAATGCATAATGTTTAAGTTGTAATTTTTTTCATGATACTTTCAAGGATGAATGCACTATTCAAATATACACACTAGCTTGGAGGGGGCGCGATAATCATGAACAATTGAGTTGAACTTTCAGATATCCCTTGCATAAATGACCGTTAACCTGTAGCAACGCATGAGCATAGATTACCATGTTGATTTCCATCAAATAGTAGTAGAGAATCTGATTCTGTTAATGTTGTTTAGTCCGAAAATTCTTTAACAAGTTTCTTCTACAACAGACTTCTAATTACACGCAAACAAGAACTCAGCGTCTCGATTTTGGCTTAACAACAATATTCGTCCAAAACCAAATAATATCTAGTGAAAATTATATTTCGTTAACGTTACTATGCACAGGCACTCACCTAAGCTAGTAGATATAGAAGATAAACGGATATAGAGAAATCGACCATGGGCTCGCTCCTTCCTAAATAAAAAGCACAATGCAATCAGCCGGTACACAATAAATACGTTTATTCTTGCGGACACCCTACCGGCAACGGCATAGTGTCCCAATCTGTCTCAAGTTTAGCATGAAACGATGGTCCATGAATGACCACAGAATCGAGTACCGCCCGGTTCGTACTTATAAGCCGTATTTTTTCAATTAACGAATATTATTTTTCTCTGACAACAAATTAGTCAATAGTTCTTTCAGCCATGACTTATTAGCCAAGCGAGAAGAGCATGTACATACGTACGGTGCTTGAGCGCTAGCAGCAGCAGCTAGCTCCTAGTTTCGATTCATGATGGTGGGGCGAACGTTGATCGTCACCTTGGCAGCTGTGCGCGGCACGATTACGACGTCGACGGTGCTATCGTCCTCAGCGTCGAGGTCGTACAGCACGTCGGTGATGCAGAGGGAGACCTTCCCCTTCCGCGTCCCACCGGCGCCGGAGCCCGGCACGACGGCGAAGCTCCCGGCGTACTCCTTGTACTGCGGCCCCACCTGCAACGCCTTGTCCGCGGGGACGTTGATGGCCACGTCGAACTTGTTGTTCGCCTGCGGGTCGAACTCGACGCCGTCGATCACCAGCAGCTGCTCCTTCCCCGCCTCCCTGGCCGGCACAGCCACGGCCGGCACCTCCACGACCTGGCCCTTGGTCAGGGCGAGCGGGAACACCGGCGCCGCCGCCGACGACCTCGCCGGCGCGCCGCTGTCCTTGCCGTGGGGCACCAGCGTCGTGATCTTGGGCCGCAGCCACGGCAGGTCCCTGTCGGCCTCGACGTCGTACGTGTAGCCGAGGTCGCGCGTGTCCAGGACGTCTCGGAACTTGATTCGCACCTTCCGCGGGCTCTTGACGTCGTCGTAGAAGACGAAGCTGGCGTCGAGCCAGTTCGTGTCCGTGATGCCCTGCCCGCCGCCGAGCCTGGTGGACCAGAGGTGCCACATGCGGTCCACGTTGGCGTGGTGTGAGTAGAAGAGCGGATCCCGCCCCGCCGACCCCAGGAACCCCATGTCGTTGTTGCAGCTGTACGCGCCCGGCTTGCTGTGGTTCGGGACGCCGCCGGAAGCTTCGCTACAAGTCGCCGTCGCCGGCGTCGGGCCCGCCTTGCCGACCCAGACGTGCACGGCGGTGTGCGCCATCCGCTCCAGCGAGCCCATGCTGCTCGTGCTTGACCCGAGGTCGGTGCAGTACTTCTCGCCCAGGAACGACTCCGCGCCCTTACGTACTTGCTGCCAGCAGTTCCGTCAAAATGAAGCCAAAGGTGGTCAATTAGCTCACATGCTGTACACGGCGGAGTATGTATGTATATATGTATATATATATACACACACCTGGTTGTATACGGTGCTCAGGTTCTTGTTAACAAGTTTCTTGTATTTTTCGTCCTTTGGGCCCTTGAAAGGGATGGGCTCCGCATCCTGGTCGTTGAGGTAGTCTAGGTCGATCAGCGCGTCGAGGTTTGCCGGGTTCCGGTTGGCGTCGTACAGCGGGTTGCTGGCCGTGGAGCCCTCGCTGAAGAGAGGCGGCACCACCATGCCGGCGGGGGCGTCCCAGTTCCAGAACGGCAGCGCGAAGGTATCGTCGCCGATGAGCTGCCCGAGGGCGCGCTCGTAGAAGTAGATGTACATGCGGTGCCACGGCGCGAAGATCCACGAGAAGTGCACGTCGAACGTCGGGTCGTCCCTCGCCGCCGCCGCCGAGCCGGACGACGACCGGTGGTAGCTGTAGTAGCTGTCGCAGTAGGCCTGGTGGATGGCCGCCTGCGCCGCGAAGCTCAGCGGGTTCGACTCCGGCAGCGCCTTCATCTTCTCGACGGCCTCCTTGTACTTCTCCTGGTATTCCCGGCTCAGGAGATGCACCGGCTGCCGGACGCGCGTCACCTTCGCCTCCGGCGTGAAGTCCACCACGGGGGCCGTCGCCGACACCAGAGGGCACGGCAACACCCTTTCCGTGTCCGTGCACTGGACGGTGTTCTCGTTCACCTTGTCGGCCCTGGTGCACTCGGCATCCGCGAGGCCCGGGTACCAGGCGAGCCCGGCGGCGACACCGGACAGGCCGTTGAGCATCACGTCACGCCGGGGCAGCCAGAGGAGGCCGTCAATGTCGCCCCGGCCGCCGCCGCCGGTGGCCCTGCACGACACCGTGCGGCGCCGGAACCTGGCGGCGGCGGTCTTCTTCTTGGACGGGCATGCAGAGGGCGCCGAGACGAGGGTGCTGGAGGTGGCGCAGGCGCTCGCCATGGAGCCGTTCATGTCTACGCGAGACTACGAGATAGCAGTGGTCTGGATTTGGACGTTGCCACACACATCCATCCATGCCCAAGGCCAGTATATATAGTGCAAGTGTGGACTACGTGGGCATGCATACCCCTGCATCTCCACCATCTCGGTTCTTTACACTGGTTATCTAGCAATTTGCATCTGCGGGTGCAAACCTAATGATGTCGTGGATTGATATAGATATGCACAAAATCGTGCTTCACAAGCCAAACTAGTTGTGTGGATGCATTACATCCTCACCCACATATATTACCCACTGGTAAAAGGTAAAACGCATAGTATATCCATGGTGAATGTCATGAAAAAACCCTGTTGGGCCTCCTATCCTGCAAGCATATCCTCCAAGGTTCAGTGTAACAAAGTTTAGTTCTTGACAAACCCTTGGGCTAAATGGGTCATAGTAGCTTGGAAAATTGGCCTAACAAGATTTTGAGACCTGTTGAGGCTCTCTTCTATGTACAATCTATTTTGTGCTCTTACAACATCTATAGCAGCCCTCAAATCAGGGTCCCTACTTTTGATCTGAGGGCTCCCATACTTTTGATGGCCCTAATTTTTTACATCTGCACACCATTAGAAGCCTTCAAATCCATTCCAATAGACACTGACATTTAGGACCCAATCGCCATTACTTGTTCTTCTACTTTCATGTTCTTCCCCTTGCTCTTATCGACTGAGCTAGACATGGACCGGGAGGAGGACGAGGATCCGCTGAGGGAAGCTCGGGCGGGAGTTGTCCCGCAACGAGGACGAGGATCCACCGAGGGTAGCTTGGACAGGAGTTGTCTCACGATAGAGGATAGCCCGATGTCCCCGCGCCGAGAAGGACGAGGATGAGTCCAGCTCATAAGGGCCAGAACAGGGGAGGAGGATGAGGATTCGCCATGCCTTGTCAGGGAAGGGGAGGGTAGCCCAAATGGTGAAGAGGAGGTCGTGGATCCACGTCGGGGAGGGGATATAGGAGGCTGCCGGACAGAGAACTCGTGCCGGTGAGCCGTGCAGAGCAGAGCAGCGACCCAACTATAGTAGAGGGAGGGGATGGCGGTGAGGGGCTTGATCCGTGGGGAAAGAAGTCAAAGGCTATGCAAATCGACTGCGGAGGAGGCGGGGGAGGTCTGTTGGGGCGTCTTTGGAGGTGGGAAAGGGCGGCGCCAAACTTGGAGATGGACGAACAACAGCAGCGGCGAGCGGCATAGTTCAGGCATGGGAACGGAGAAAAAGTATGCACTTGGGGTGGAAACATGTCAACTACCACATGGGGGGCGGGGGAGACGCCCACAGGAATGAGGGTCGTGGAGGCAGATTTGAGGGCCTACTCATTTTGAGGACTCAAATAGGAGCCTTGCTGGACATGTGCTTTTAACATGAACCCTTAAACTTTAGTCTAGGAGCATGTTTGATGGTCCTGCTGGAGTTGCTCTTAGCCATCAAACAGACCTTACGAAAGATAACTATTTTGTGTCATATTTCTAATAATTAATTAATATACATAGAACACAAGACACATATATACTCGGCATCCAGGTTAATGTAAGATACTGAGCGGCGCATAAGGTGTGTGAATATGATCAATCTTGCCATTAAAACATATAGCAAATTAACATGCGCCTAACGAGTGGCAATATAGTTGAGGGTTGAAAATTTTGCCATGAGTCCAGATCTCCACGCACCTCCATGCATCAAGCTAGCTAGAGCCCCTTTGTGAACCACCACACGTGGTGGCACCGATCTTAATTAAAATAAAACATTCATGCATCGTAAGCAGCAGTAGCAGGGGGTTGTACTTGTACGTGTGCGGCCAATCAGTACCCATCAACGTTGCGAATGCATGTGGATACTGCTTCCATTACTCCCTTCGAAAGAGGTTTGTTGCGGTGCAGGAGGTACCAGCTAATAACTACTCCTACGTACTTGGCGTTGAGGTGGACGATCGATTGACGATATATATATATATATATATATATATATATATATATATATATATATATATATATATATATATATATATATATTTGGCATGAGAAAGCGCCAACCTTTTCTTTCAAAAAAAGAAAAAGAAAAAAAAGAAAGCACCATTCTCAGGAGTGTATCAGAAATTAAATGTCGTCGGTGCAGAGGCATTAGACAGCAGCTGGAGTGAGGAAGACAATGTGCGTAACAACCCTGCAGTACTTGCAGGGAAAACAGGAGTCGGTACAGTGTCGTGTGCAGATAGTAATGGGTTGTTTGGATGCCAGCCTTCACTGGCCACACCTTAAGTTGCGACGGCGCCACAAGTATGGTGGAGAAAATCATCACCACAACTATATATATATATATATATATATATAGCGAGAATAAAAAAGAGATTGCCGTATAGGGGACTTGTGACTGCCTATTATTAGCCATCAACCAAACGGCGGTAGGCACCCTCAACGTCGTCCTCGAGAGATACGAGAACATCTCATGGTATAGGTGGCACCACCCTGTTCTGCTTGGCTCTCTGTACGATTGCACGTGATTAAAAATGCACGTATTGATCTATCTTTTCACAGTTCATCGCCTTTCCTATTCACCGTGACAGTAGAAATACTCTACACTCTCCTGGTCAAATTATACCCGAACGGTGGATTGTGTTTGTTGGACTATGTGCCACATATGTGGTAGAAAATTTAATTATATAATTTAATTCATTATAAATATAATATAATCAAAATGCATTGCATACTTGTTCGGCATACATGTTGTCACTCGGAGAAGCCTTCCTCGGCACGGCTTGGACTTCTCCGAAAACAGAGAAGCCAGAAAAAAACTATGTTTTGGTAGTTTTGACTCTAGCCCTAAAACGGCTTTGGCTTCATTATTTTTGGCTTAAAAGTCTTTCTATTGTGTACTTGTTTGGTATAGGGCTTTTAAATAAGTAGGTGAAGAACCCCCTACAAAAGCCCTTCCAAAGAGAGCCTTTAATTTTTTTTAAAAAATATTGATAGTGGTAGAAGAAGCATAATATAACTGCACTTTATGGTTATTTATTTGTTTATTTTATCACTTCTCCTATATCTCAGGAGCCTGAATTTTAATATGATTTTAAGCAACACTCTTGTACCACCAATTAGTACAAAGTAAATTGTTATTTTGTGATTTGTTATTTGTCTTTGTGTCATAACATATTAAATTTTTGTCCTTGTCTTTCTATAGAAATAATTCTAAATTGTTAACTGTTTTTGTGCCAACACAAATCAGATTTTGTTAGATTTGTGATTTTGTCTAGCGGTTTTTTATTCTTGGTATAGAAAATTAAAGATTGCGCATACATAAATTGCAATAAACGAAATCTATAATTTTAGTATAAAATATATGCAATAATTGTTGCCTGAAAGTAAACTAAAATTCAGGCACCTAAATTTTAGTAAGTCCCTTATTTTATAATAGCATATGTTGGTAATTTAGATGTTGAGGTGTATTTAGTTTATTTGGCATAGGGGTAATTTGGATAGAAATATAAGGAGGTAGTTACTTTAGAATTATCTATCATAATAGCAGAGGTGGTAGTTTAGAGCATCTCTAAGAGTATCTGGTTTACAACTCCAAAAAAAATATTATGAGGAATAAAGAATGCTATCTCCAAGAATTTCTAATAAATAACTTCCAAAAAAAATGAAAATTTGGTCCCACAAGAATTTTTTTTTCGGCAGTTTCTTTTTTTTCGCGCGACATCTCTGGTCCGTCGCCGGCAGCGATCTTGTCGACTTCGGTCAGGTCGCCGTCTTCCTCCATGGGCAGCCCTGGTCCGTTAGCTTCGGCACCGCCTGCTTCTGCTGTTTGCCATTGGGAGCTGAGAGAAGAAGACAAGCATGTTGGATGACTTGAGGTTGCCGTGCGGCGGCCGGTGGAAGTACGGCAGCGACTTGTGCTGCTACGCCAGCCCACGCGCCATGCCCTGCGCTATCCAGAGCCGCGCCAGCCACGGCAGCGGCGTCCTCTCCTCGCCTCTGTTTCGTGCGCACGCACGCATCCGGACGACTGGAAGGAGGCCGTGGCCGGGAAACAAGTCGCGGGAGTCTCACGCAAAGGAGGAAGATGAGCGCGACGGAAGTGCGCGGATCTTTACGCGCTTTGGGCGATTTTTTTTCCAGGTGCTAAAAGATTGGAAGGTGAGATTAGAAATTTTTGGAGATGAGTTTTTTTTTTCAATTTTTCTAAAAATCTTAGATTGAGAGTCTTTGTTAGGAACTCTTGACATGCTCTTAGATCCGAATTTAAGGGGTATTTGGATTACCTTTTATAGTGGCAAAGATGTGTAATTTAAATACAGATTAGGGGATTGTATCTTATTTTTAATAATGGCTCCGATGGATAATTTAGAAGCAAAAGCAGATCCACCCCATGGACATTACCTTCAACTAGCTCCAAGCCACCTAGAACCACAGGCAATGGGCCACACGGCACTGGCTGAGGGCAGCAAAACATCTTGAAGGGCAAGTACATCGATACACTACGTAAGCAGTTTTAAATTAAAGGTTATCTCATGTCGTGCCATATTGAATTTTTGATAAACATCGAGGAGAGAGGAGAGAGAGGGAGATAAGAGAAAGAGATGGTTGTTTCGTGAAACAACCGCCTCATAAAATAAAATCTAGAACTATGAGACAACTTATACACCATTACACAAGTAGTTGTTGGCGTGCAACTCATAAACATTCATTTATTTTATGCACAAATTTAAGACCCTGGAATTACTCTAAAAGATAATACCAATGCATAAATTATACGTGTTGTTTGTTAAGCCGTCTCATATAATTACGTGGCACGACATGGAATCATTTATGAGACAATACCAATATGCTTGCCCAAAGGGTGCGGATGCCACAAGGTATATGGATTTACATATGATGATCCACCAGTCTAATAATTGGATTTTTTTAGAGAATCTATTTATCAATCTTTCTAGAACATTTCGTGATAACTAGTACGAGCCTTAAGAAAAAGGCCCT